AGATGCTCCAAAATTGTCTCAATGAAGAACAAGTTTGCATCACTTACGATCCGGAGTTCACACCTAAAAACCACAAACCAATTTGATCAGTGCCACCATAAACACACAGAAACTATAAGAAGAGGAGCGCAGAATAAAAAACATACCCTAAAGCATGAGCTGCTTTAATAGTTGGGACGACCCTAGAATGTATAGGAGTCGGCCTCAGAACCTCAGCAATGTCATCAATGGTTTTTCCCTGTGCATGAAGCTCCTTCATCATCCTATCCTGCAATTTTATACCACAAGAAAATAATTAAACGTTGAGTTCCATTTATTTTAACGTCAAAACAAGAGAAACAAAAATTCCAGGTGCTTACCATGAGAGAATTCCAGGGCATGGTAGGAAGAAGCTGGTTGAACAAGTCGGTAAAACCCAACTCATCAACAACCCAGTTATCACTATCACAGTCGATGATAGTTTTGTCAAAATCAAAAACTACAACGATTCCAGCCATCTCTTTGAATGAAAATCAAATATTTGCAAAACAAGAGGGAAAAAGAATATCTCTTGCTTAGAGTACGGATGTAGGATGGAAAACTCAAGAACTCTGAATGTTGTCTTGGCACAGAGACACGTAATAGGAGAGGGTATTTATATGTAGAAAACAGTCATGTGCACGTGGAGAATAACACAGTTATTAAACAATGGATTTTTTTATGCCGAAGGAATATTACGTGAAGGAGTTTTAAAGGTTAGCAGGAAGCAGGGCCAGAAGAATCCTTTTTTCCAGCAATCTTCCTGGATACCACATCCTAATCTGATAACAACGGCTTGTAACCTGTTATAAACAATATTAGCCATTATTTGATGACTTTGATTGGATTTGGTCAGCGGATCAAAGGGGTAAAAGGGTGTGAAATGGGGTTAAATATTTGTGGGTCAATAGTTAATTGGGGGTTAGGTTTAAGGTTTATCAGAAGCAAAAGAATGGTGGGAGGAATAAGGGAATATTCTAGGGGAACGAAACTCACTTGCCTACCTTTGAAACGCACATGCAACAAACAGAGAGAATATTCTCTGTACGGTTTAGTCACTTTATGTGGCTGCCAAGCTTCAAGGTTTTCGAGCCCGCTCCTATAAGCGGTCTTCCTTGTCCTTATGTCACGGACCACAGCTCAGCGGATTAAAAGTTGCCCGAGGATGTTTCGAAGTGTCGGTATGTGGAGAAGTATTGTTGGGAGAGAACCCTCATTGGATAGCGTAAGGCAAGTGCAGGGTGCCAGCAGGGTCACACAGCACAGGCCCCTGGGCGAGCTAGCCCGACAGAATGCCAGAAGGGACGCACAGCACAGCCCCCTGAGCGAGCTAGCCTGGCAAGGTACCAGCAGGGGCGCATAGCACAGGCCCCTGGGAGAGCCAGCCCGACAAGATGCCAGCAGGGGCGCACAGCACAGCCCTTTGAGCGAGCTAGCCCTGCAAGGTACCAGCAAGGGCGCACAGCACTGCCCCCTGGGCGAGCCAGCCCGGCAGGGTGCTAGCAAGGGCGCACAGCACCAACCCCTAGGCGAGCCAGCCCGGCAGGGTGCTAGCAAGGGCGCACAGCACCAGCCCCTAGGCGAGCCAACCCGACAGGATGCTAGCAAGGGCGCACAGCACCAGCCCCTAGGCGAGCCAGCCCGACAGAGAGCCAGGCAGACTGCCCGCAGGCGCGCCAGCCAGTAAAGCAGGGGTGTGCGGCACGCCGACCCGCACAGCATGGATACGCGACATGTAGGCTCGGGGCCGGCACGCGGGGGCACACAGCATGGACACACGGTACGCAAGCCCTCGGCCCAGCAGGGGTACGCGGCACACAGGGGCTCACAGCATGGGTGAGCGGCACGCAGGCCCGGGGCCTGCCGACCCAGCAGGGGTGCGCAGCACGCAGGTGCGCGGCACACAGGATGGCACGGCAGGGGCGCAGCACGCAGGCCCGGACAGCGCCCAAACAGACTGCCTACGCGCGGCCCCTGCGCCCCAGCTCTCCAGCGCCTAGGCACACTGCCTGTGCACGACTCAGACCCACCAGGGGGCCCAGGATGGTGCCGACCCACAAGACTCACTCTTTTGATGTATTGAGCTGCTGGAATTTTTAGATTCCCTCCTGAATATTTAGGATGGAAATATTTTGGAGAGAAATATTTGGGGGAAAATTGGCTATAAATAACCCCTTGTACTTTGTGTAATTCATTCAATTCATTCAATAGAAGTTCAGCATTTCTATTTCCAGCATTCTCCTCTCTTTTCCTCATTTTCCTTTTATGCAAGTTTACTTGCCGGCTTAAAGCCATTGTGTGCGAGTGCGGGTGCCGGAAGGCAGTGTGCTGCGTGTGAGAGTACCGGGTGCTTGCTGGGTGAGTGCTGAAGTACTAAGGCTGACTTGGGTTTCAGTACTGGGATAAGGGTTGAACCCAAGGCCGCATGGAGGGTGGTTTGAAGAATCGCCTCGTGACACTTACACCAAGTTGAAATTTTTTACTTAAGTAAAATTGACAGAACAAAGAGGACACTAGAACAATTCTTTCACACTTGATATTGCATCAGGGATGAGACATTGTCATTCCTGATCAACTAAATTGATCCGAGATCGTTTTTTTAATACGTGACATTTGAAAGATCAAATGGTTGCAAAATTAGTATAAAACATATTCCATCTCAAGCATATTTGTTATTTTATATGAGCTGCTATTATTCATATGACTTATTAATTGGTTAGAAATCAGAAATTTGGAAAGCTAAAATTGAGAAATTTAAAATAAGGGACAGGGGGTTGCTGGGAAACAAAATTTGGGAGGTTTTTCCTCTCTTTTTTTTCCCTCATATATTTATCATCATTTTGTTTTTTATTTTGTTTTAAATTTTAAACTTCAATTAGAGGGAAAAAATCCGAAAGTTAATAACTTAATATCTTAATTTAATTTGAAATTTGAGAATTTATTATCAATTATTAGTAAAATTAAATTGAAAATAAAATTGAGTATTACTTATAAACTAAAATATTAATTTAAAAATATATTATTAAGTAACAATTTTTTTTTTGGAAAAAAATAATTCATTGAATTACTAATGCATAATTACATTATGAGACCACAATATCATACCCTCTAAGCTCTCTCATACCAAACCACATTACAATACCCCAATGCATAAAGGGAAAGCCTCGTTAAAAACTTCTCCAGGATTAAAAATCATGGATAAAGAAAAAAGAGTACCCTCCCTAATATGCTCACTAATTTCCTATTCTCATATCCCAACTCCCCATAGTCCTCCACTAAATCAGATTTATATCTTGAAGAATACTGCTTCTAATTTGATTCGGAACCTGTGTAACATGCTTCCAAACTGATTGGTCTTCATGCAACCCTTTTGCAAATTAAGCTATTAAATGAGCGACCCTGTTTGTATCTCTTGGACAAAATGAGGTCGATGCACCTGAGAGCTTCTTCATTAACCCAACGTAATCTTCTGTGATGTCCCCCAATCCCCCGTTCAGTTTTCTATCCCTTACCCAGCATACTACATTTAAGCAATCAATCTTATCCTCATTTACTTGCAAATTTTCCCTAGCACAACAGAGTAAAGACCACACCAGCGATTTTAATTCTGCTTCCTTAACAATGGAGCCATAAACCATTCATTTTACTCCGGCTAGAATAAGCTCCCCTGCTGCATTTCTGACTATAAAGCCAGGGCCAATCATGGTAGCTCCATCTACATCAAAAACCGCCACATCAGAATTCAATTTAATTCCTCGAGGTCGTGTCCACGAACCTATCCCTTGCTTATCTATTACTTCTCTGATTCTGGTCGGTGTATCAGGTTCTCAAAACTGCCTGATCATCTCTATTCCCAACTCTACCACGGCCTTTAGGGTCTGGCTTATGCTGCTTATATATGAGGGAATTACGGGCCTTCCATATTGCCCGTAGTGCACAGAAGATAGCTTCTATTTCTTCCTTTGCAACAAATTCACACAGATTTTGAAACCAGTCACTTATCATCGAAAAGAGGTGCGTCCCTAAGTCCCTGAAACCCCGTTTGGTCATCAGCCATACAGCTCTAGAAAACTCACAGGCACACACACAAACAATGGAAGTCTGTTTCCATCTCCACAGAGCAAAATGGGCAAGCTGGTTCAACATAATTTTCCTTTTTATCAGTACTGCACAAGAGGGAAGAATACCCTTCAGAACTCACCACATAAGTAAGAGAATTTTTCTTGGAATCACCAAGCTCCATAATTTTCTCCATGTTCCATCCAAGCTAGCAGACGAGCTTCCTCCATCTTAGCTGCCATAGAAGAGCAAAGCAATCTATATCCCGATTTAACATAACATTCTCCATGTTTATTATAGAACCATATTTGGCGATCCATAGGTTGCCTATTACTTAACGGAATTGCCAAAATTAAACTGCTTTCATATAGTGGAAAGCACAAACGAATTTTCTCTTCATTCCAAACCATCATACCGTATCATATACCCTCGCCAAATCCTTCATCTCATCTTTACATACCACCACTTTCCTCGGGGTCTCATAAAGTATCCAGCAATGCTGTCTCATCCAAATATCTTTGCTGTGTCCCACTCTCCAAATCAACCCTTTATAAATCAATAATATCATTTTATTATATAAATAGGTTATCAACTTTTAAAAGTTTTAATTTTTTTTTATTTTTTATATTAAATTAATCAATAAAATAATTCAAGTCCAAAATGATTTCGATTTCAAAATTATCGATATAATTATATTTAAAGGAAGCCCCAAAGAGCTTCGTTGATTAACACTTGGCAATATTACCTGAACGAGGAAAGCCACCATATGGTTATTACTTTTTTTTTCTTTGATTGTTCAATAATTATTATTAAATATCAAGTCATATTTAATAAATAGTAAAATAGTAATTGAAATGTAATTATCTTTTCTTTACATTAAAAGTTCAAAAATTTGAATCAAACTATTTACTTAAAAAAATATATATACATGTTAATTATTGAATCTTTTGAGACCTTGACACTTGACAATATTGTTTGAAAAAGGAAAGCCTCTTCCATATGGTTATTACTTTTTCCCTTTTTTCTTTGATTTTTCAACAATTATTATTAAATATCAAGTCATATTTAATAAACATTAAAATAACAATTGAAATGTAATTATCTTTTCATTACATTAAAGGTTAAAAAAATTTGAATCCAACCATTTACGTAAGAAAAAATATATCCATGTCAATTACTGAATCAAATTATGTAATATAATTTTCTTTATCAAATTAAATTATACAACTATTATTCATAAAAGTTCAATTTTAATTATTCTAAATCTTAAATTTTAAAATTTAATTTTTCTTATATTTAAATATACACTCTACTTTTCACTTTTTAAAAGAAAAAATAGTAACTAATAAAAAAACAATATAAAAAAACTTAAATATATCCACTGACATAACTTTAGTATCTATTTGCAAACATGGCAAGATGGAGAAAAAGAAAAAGAAAAAGAAAGAAATGATGAACTCATATATAGTCTTACTAAGGTATATGGATGCCCCTTAGGTTGTGTTTGGTATGAGAGAAGTAAGAGCATATTCCCTACAATGTATCTAATCTAATTAAATTATATTATAGTGTTTATTTTGCAACAAACCACTACAATATAAGATTGCAGTAAATCATATTACAACCAATGGATGTAATGTGATTGCAATCTAAAATTAATACAATCAGATTGTATTGCACTTTACAATATTATTAAAGACAATTTTACCTTTCAATTCTGTTACTTTGTTAAAAACATTTTATAATGTTATAAATTATTTTTTTACATAGATTTTGATGATATTTTTTACTATTTTTAATAATCATAGTGACTGTCAATAAAATTTATATTATTTTTTTAAAAAATTAAAATAAAATATATGATATAAAAAATTTTATTAAAAATAAAAATAAAATATATGACATTAAAAATATATTTAAGAATGATATTATATAAAAATGAACAATAAAAATACAAATAATAATGATTACAATAACAACAGTTCTATATTTTGTAAAATAATATTTGGTATATTTCAATATACACTAATAATTAGATATGATAACATAATTATTATTATTTATCTATTTCACAAAGTATTCTCAACTCAATTAAAAAAAAATTTTTATCATCTTGGACGGATCACACAAGTAACAGACTAAAAAACCGAGTTTGAGGAAAGCCCAATCCAAATCCATCAAGTTCCCGCTTATATCATTTTGTCAACAAATCCATAAAAATTCAAAGAAATGGAGGCGACTAAGATTGGGCTCTGAGCCCATCAAGCCCTTTTAAACCCCTCCTTTAGTAAACCCCGGCCAAAATCCCATCCCCTCGCTCTTCCAACTAACGGGGGCAAAATGGCAATTCTAGCTTGGACGCCACATCCAACGGCAGTTCCCGCGGCGGTAAGAGCTTCGTGGGACACCCAACAAAGACCCTCTTACAACCCCAACGCTCCACGAAAGCTGAAGCCCAACCCCAACCTTAAGCCCTCACGGACCGTCACCCTCACCACCCGCACCGACCCATCAGTTTTCGACGTCCTCAAGCGTCCCACTCAAGGTAATCCCCCTCCCCTCTCCTCCTCCTCATGGCTAATTCATTCTTTAAGGCTCCGTTTAGTTGAGGGTTTTTTTTTTTTTTAGATTTTTGCTATCTTTAGTTTTCAATTATTTTTTATTATTACTTTTTCCTTTCTATTATTTTTTGCAAAAAAAAAAAAAGAATATCTATATATATAGTAACTAAACAAAGTCTACATTTTTAACTGAAATGTTGATATATTTTAGTTTATGATAATTGTAGAAGTAACGCCCGTAAAGGTAGATATGGATGAGTCTTATATGGGATACGAGAGATGGCTGCCAACCCCTCCAAAAGTGGAGAAGCCTCGATCAGTTTTCAATGCGGCAACATTAGCTTATATTGGTGATTGCATTTATGAGGTTGTTTTATATGCTTTCGATATGTTAGTTTTGTAATTTGATACACTACTATTCATGTTCTTAGTTATGTGACCACATGGCAAACTTATAAAAATGTGTCTATATTGTTTTTAAACTCTACTCTTGGTGTACAGGACATAATTTTAATCTTGAAGTTGATTGTATGTTCGGGCATATCTTAATTGTAATGTTTCTTGAAATCTGCAGCTGTACACGCGCAGGCATTTTTTGTTTCCTCCACTCAGTATTGAAGAATATAACGATCGTGTGACTTCAGTAGTACGCTGTGAGGCACAAGTATGATGTTTTCCTGAGTACTTTTTGTCATTTGTGCATGTTAATATTTTTATTTATTTATTTTTTTGCTTCTTTTAGGATGCATTGCTCCAGGAACTTCTTAATGATAGTTTCCTATCAAATGATGAAAGGTTAGTGGAAATGTTCTTCATGCTTTTATCCATTCTTTTTATATACATTTGTTTGATGGATATGCACACCCATAAACAAATCCTACTTCTTCAAAAATTTGGAATATTGAACTTTGACAAATTCAGTTGCACTTGAGCTGTTCAATTACTGGTTAAATTGAGAAAAGAAAAGGAAAGAATTGCTCTAGTTGCTTGGTTACTGGTTAGAATAGATGAGATTGGTTGGTCTAGACATCAAATGTCTTTGGCTTAAAAAGAGTTAAATGCTTGATAAATTATCCACTCAAAACCTCTACAAGAGCTATCTGGAATTGAGAATTAGATGGATTTTTTGCTAAGGGTATTTATCTACTAATGCAGTTTCTTAAAAATACGACATATGCAAGTAAATCTACCTCAGACAGGTTGTGTTCTTTTAGCTAACAGTTATGTTGCAATAGAGGTGTCAGACGGATCTAGAGATTCAAATTCTTATGTTGCACAGCCTTTTGAGCATGAATATGCATGATGCATCTACTGCAATTTTTCTCTTATAAATTTACTTTTAAAATTGTAACTGGTATCTGGTCATTTTTACGGCAGGAATGTTCTTCGATGGGGAAAGAATATTAGTTCGTCTAAAACACGGACAAAAAAGCGAGCTGGTGCAGCAGTTTATAACAGAGCATCGTCACTGGAAACACTAGTCAGTACCCAACTTCCTTGTGTTCTCCTCTGAAAGAGCATATGGTTTATTTAGTTATTGATAGTTTGGCAATGGGTTTGGACTTGAATCCTTCTTTTTGAGGAAAATTGTGGCTAACACTACGAGGCTATGATGTCGTCTGAAGTAGTTGGTTTATTTTAAACACAAAATTTGACCAGGTCCATAGTCTTCTGTTTATGACTTGCTACTGCTAAAGAATGAGGGAGACCATTCCGTTTTTGGTTCATTGAAGATTTGTTGGAACTTGCATTATATTTGGATGGTAAAATTCAGGTCACTTTAAGGGATCTGCTTTTGGCTAAAAGAGGATAAATTTATGTTTATCTATTTGGTA